CAGAAAGGACGACTCTTCTATAGACTTTGAAGCCAAGAATGGCTATTGAACGTGATTTTCTGGGTAGCATCTTTCATGGAAGAGCGGGAATCCACCATCTCCATCGAAGATACTACATCACCGCCCTTCCAAATTCACTATGGTCTCCCACAAGGCTCACCTGTATCCCCAATTCTATTTCTTCTGGCTATGGAAGAGGCACTACGTCTCTCTACTGGTCGCTTTGGAAATGCAGATGAAGTTGCCCTCTTTGCGTCCGGGTCCTCCCTCGTCGAATGTGTACGCAAGCTCCGGGAGAAATTAGACAGTGCCATAACATGGGGACAGACCAACGGAATTGTTGTAATCTAACGCTTTTCATCCTCGGAATTCATGGTGAGCAGTAGTTGTATAGCACGTGATGCCATGCGGGGGAGAAGGAAGAGGATGGCGAAAGCCGCTAGCCAGATCTAAGCGATCTGGCCCACTTGTAGATGGAGAAATCCTTTTTTTGTATATAGACAATACAACCCTAACTAGTAAAACAACAATAGTAAGGAACTCATACATCCGCACCTCAGTTATCTCACACATCGTGACCCATAAACCTCACTCTCATATCTATCACTCCACAACAAAGCTTCAACAGGAATTAGTTTCGAACTTCTTAAAACTGAGCTCCAATGCTTTCACCGGAAGCGAGGCTCACCACTAGAGCCTACTCTAAATATTGGAGGGCCAACTATAACGCCAAATGATCACACTTGCTGGATTGGAATCTTCTTCGACCGGACTCTACGGCTCCAATTTCATACCCTACAGGCTTGCCGAAAATCGCTAGCCATCACCAGCCATTTGAAAAGACTCTCGACGAGGACTCGAGGCGCTATCCATCTCTTTCTATGGTAAGCTCTACAAGGTGCCGCATTTGCGACCAATTTCTACGGAGCCGAGACCTGGCACTCTAAACAGCCTTCCCAAAAAATTATCTTGCAAGTCCAACACAGGATGAACGACGCGGCACGGGCAGCTCTCCCAGTCTACGGCACCACTCCAATAGCAGCACTCCTACAAGAAACTGGCTGTTGCCCAGCTCAGACGTGGCTCTCCTGAATTCACATTTGTCTAGCGGTTCGAATTGCAGCAGCTGACCCGGACCACCCTCTTCGTAGGCGTTGGAATACAAGTCGTATGCGCTGGATCCGCCAGATGAACCCATTAGAACTTTCCAATGATACCATTGTTGTGAATACCACGGATCAGCTCCGATCGAGTCTCATCGGGCTTCCACTATTACGGCACTTGGACACTCAGGCGCAGGAAGCCAGGTGAGATCAGGGCACTGATACTACAGCTGAGTACCTAATCACTCTGGCAACATCCCTATGTACGAGCGTTGCCTGTTAGACCAATGCGTTTAGGCTGAGGTGCATATCACTCTGATGGCTACCGAGGGGCAACAGCACATAATTTGGTGATGGTGTGTAGCTCTGTAACCCCGGAAGTTCCACACTAGCAATCAGCATCAATGGTATGTCATGTCAGGAGATATTGGTAGTGGCTATGGAAGTGGTTACTGTGACAGGAATAGGAAGCACCTGTGGTGAGTGCGTGATCAGGACTGGGGGTTGAACTTGTATATAACGAAGCAATACTTCCGCAGACAGATAGAGAATCAGCCATCTTACCACTGTCCATTCCAACGTATCTTCGCATTACAGCTACATCAACTATATCCGCATATCCATAATCATCTGCATCCATTTCAGGTATTCCTCTGTCTTGTCATGACCTCGTTTTTGTAATAACCATACCTCCACCATGGTCGGCACCCCGTGAGGAAAATCTAATAAAAATTGGGGCATTAGGTAGACTCCTGGGACCAAATTCCTTCAAAAAACGGCAGGTTACACGACCTACCCTAGACTTGTTCGTATTTTCAGACGGAGCTCTAATAGAAGACCGAGCAGGTGCGGGTTATGTCATCTATCGAGGTCTTACGCAGGAGATTGGGCGAGGATCACTCCCGCTCTGTAACTCGGCAGAAGTATATGATGCTGAAATTGCTGGGGCCACTGAAGGTCTTGCCGGAGCTCTTCGCAAGTCACTGGCCTATTATGCCTCTAACGTCACTGTCTGCCTTGATAATCAGGAGGCTGCCATCCATATGCTCTTGGATACGCCCACGGCGTCCAGCTCGGCGAAAATATTAATCTTTCGCAAGCTCGCAATAAACTGGAAAAGAAGATCACGCGGTCAGAATACGACGCCTGGGGAATAAGCTGTTCGATGGAGCCCAGGCCACGCAGGCATTCTTGGAAACGAAGTTGCCGACGCGCTTGGTAAAGCTGCCTATGCGGATCTAGCTCCACACTCAGAACTCTCTATTGCGAGGGCAAAAAGAGAAGTCAAAGCTCAATGTGAGACTTCCCTAACACTCTATTGGGCAGAAAATGCACCTTATGGATACAAAGAACTATGTATTGGCCCTAATACTAAGATCACGATTGAGCTCGCCCGTCTGGGGCGACGCATACTAGGATATCTACTAGCTGCATGGTCCGGTCACGGCGATTTCGCCGACTACCACCGACGGTTTCAGCACAAAAACGCCATTCTAACCTGCACATGCGGAGAAGAGAAGTCCCCCAATCACTTTTTCTATTGCCACGTCGGGCAATACCAGGCTCAGCTCCACGGGGCATATTCTAATCCTAGCGTATCTTGGGCTCTTACTTCGGCGGAGGGAGTTGATGCATTCAATAACTGGGTGCGTGTCACAAATTTATTCGGCAGGGCACAACAACAAGTCTGATTCGAAGGAAATCGCGATTTGATGGAAACAATTTTCTCCTTTTATTTTTCTAGATTTAGTACCAACTACGTAGCATGAGATTTGTTGGACGGACGACCTCCATGTGTACCATAATCTTCGAGCGCAGGATGATTAGAGCCTAGCTTTCATCTGCTTTGTTGGGTCTATGTCGGCGCCAACACGTCGAGTAGTTTAATTTAGACTGGGCTAACCGGTGCGTGAGGAGCTCATGTGCGATGCGCGGGCACGACGTTAAATATTATATGTAAATAAGTAAACTACCACGTGAGTATTATAGTTCTTTTGGAAGTGTGCGCTCCGAATACAAGTGTTACATGGCAAGGCTGAACACCTCTACGCGGTGTCCTCTACGAACATGGGAGTTGTATATTCTCCCAGAGCCAAGACTTATTCAAATTTCGCAATATCAAAGAAGTTGGCCCACGAGGCAAGAATCCAAATTACTCCTCCACGTCGTTATTTCACTCCCAACGAAATCGATTCCTACCTAAGTCTCATCAAGTCTACAAGTGCGACCAAGTACATCCTCATCCCAATGACCACACCACTCTTCGACCTTCTCAGGCCTCAGTTGACCACCTAATACAGGCCCTCGCCGATATTTACAACCGACGGCGGAAACAAAGCGCAGTGCACAAATCTGAGAGACAGTTCTTTGGGATGGACGTGAGAGTGACCAGGACAAGCTTACAAGATGACGTGGAGGATGGATACATTCTCGACGGGCGTGTAATTTTGGAATTTTGGCAGGGAATTTTACGAATTGGGCTTTGTGCGCGTCAAGACTTCGCTTGCGAGAGTGCAGCTGCCACTACAAACACAAGCAAACGAAGGAAGGTGTTGTGGTCCGCCTCCTGGTGGTTGTCTCTGGTATAGATTGAGTAGCCTGGGCACCTATTCCACTTGGAAAGGAAACACCATAGATTACATTTCGCGCGGAGGAAAGATAATGATGACGGGGGCAAGTCTGGATAACTCGGGGTTTTGGAGACGTTCCCCTGGATGGGTATTCATGGATGAGGGTTGACTTGAGGTGAAGAAAAAGCCACCTTAATTTCGCAGGGTTACTTGCAAATGAAATCTGAGGCATGAGTGCTCCTCTTGTAAATTGAATCATCTTTTCTGTACTTTTCTTTGGTATTGTGACATAGCTAGGTAGCTGCATACGCAATTCAAATCTGATGCAAGAAAAAAAACATTCAATCCACTCTATGACTCTCGCTGCTGATACCTTTTCCTTGGGTCGAATAATTACCGCACGGCTACGCATTGCCCAGATTAATTGTGCCATGACATTGCTTCGATCCCAACTGTCTTATTATCAGAGTCCTCAACATTGCGCTTAAGTATTCACCTAAGCTTAGGCAACGGTGAAAGCGTAACACTATTCATCACCGTCAATATATCAATGATCTTTCAAGTAACAAAAGAGGCAAAGAGCTCTGTACAAGGTGTGGCCTGGCTTAGGGAGGAGCCCAATCTGCTAGATAGTCTTTGAATCAAGTAGTACAATAAACACATACACACCAAACGCCAGAAGAAAAGTACGAGAGACGCAGGCCCAGCTTGCAAGACTTATTCTGCGCCTCTCCCGTTCGTCACTATCTTTGAATGATTTAATCTGCCAAGTGATTCCAGATCTGTACAGATTTATGCATTCCAGTATTTTATGCAAGTCCAAGGACACGGACCAGAGGGCAACCCATTACTGGGATACCATGGATTTTTAATGGAATGGTATGGAATGTACTGGATAGTGTAGGAACTGTGATATGGAAATCCAGGACATGTATATTATGAAATATATCTCCAAGTGGTGGGGGTCAGACTAAGTTATCTGAATACAAACGATCTCCAGTTAACGCAAGTCTTTTCGATATCAACGTTGATGTTCTACGAACACATACAGCGTCCTTTCAAGGTAGAGATTCAACCCGTATCTGCTCATAATCTTAACAATTGTTAGAATTTAGAATAATTGGGGCTATCAAGTAGGCAACGTTGTTGGTACACCCATGACTACAAATTCTGTACTTAGTTTGACTTCGGTAGTTACTTGAATCAATGCGCTCTACAACCTCAATGACTGAGGGGTCATTATTTCCTTGATAACATTGAAATTATAATTTCAAGCATAATAAACATCTTTCTGCACAACCTCCTCAGCTTACCAGCCGGTACTTCTTTACTGCAGGTGGCAGAACTCATATCGTGAAGAAGGCTGATCCCAAGAACCGTCTGAGAATTGAATTTTGTGTGCATACTTTGTAATTAGGGTGATGAAGGCACAGGCTCGCCCTTTATGGTCATAAACGAGGAAGTCCTGAACGTTTTCGAAACCTGCGAGGTCTATCAGTCTAGAAGTGGCGTTGTAGGCGGCGTTTACACTCACTATTAGACTCGGAATAAAAACTTTGGAGATTATGTTTGGTGTCCTTAGATTTACCTTGATATATGAATCCTGTATTGATGTCTTGCCTCATGGCCAATTCATCAAAGTTCACTCTTTCGCTGGGTTCAAATTTGTTACGGCCAATATTTACTCGGTATATTCTCTTTCTATTTATTTCACCGTAGCCATAGACTCTTCCATCACAATTAAAGTTTTTCTGTTCCTCCGGTATGTGAGGCCTTTGATAACTCTTAAGGACTGCCACAGAGAGACTGACGCTCTGAAGGATCAGGGCTATGATACAGCTGCGCATGGTGACCAATGTTTTGAGAATTGGCTGGAGCAAAAGACGTTAGATGACGGAAAGTAAAAGGTCTGAAGGTTACCCGCGTGCGAGAGAGCAACATCTTGTCCATAGATCCTTAATCATCTCGGTCCGCTATCATTTTGGAGGGATTATGGCCTCATTTTAGAAGAGGTCCACACTGTAGATGTGTGGAGCTTTTCAGTCATTTCGTCACCATCCTTTACTCTCGCTCCGTGAAGTCTCATCTTCTGAGTCACGCCAAGGACAATTTCGCATTTCACCCGACTCCCAGCCTTCGCGCCAATCAACTTTTGACGGATGAGTGAGCGAGTCCTCGCAAGATTTTACCCTTAATGCTGTGGTGGTTCTTGCTTGGATCAGGACAAGCAGTTGGCCCTCATTTACATGGTCAGCCTTTGCCTAGTAATGCACTTGCATATTGTCGGACTGCGGGGGACTAATCCTAACACCTGTCAGTGGTGTCCCCTACGAACCTCCAGCTCTCACTGTAGAGTCTGTAGAGCCGAGATTGAGTAACAAAGTCCTCACTCCGACGAGGATTTCCAATCGCTTCCGCGGTCTATATCGTCTTCATCTCTCAATACATTCCCCTATCACCATTATCATGAAGCTAACCACGATCAGATCAGATGGCAGGGTCGGAGCTCTTCTCATCACCAACCCTTGATCATGGAGGAGAAACTATCCGATGAGTTTCCGGAGCGTATCCAGCACCTGATACGGAGATAGCAGATTGGATCAAGTCGACCTCTACTGTTGCAAAGAAGAGAGATATAGATGAATATGCGCACCTCATGTGGTCCCGGTATCTAGGCCTCGCCTGGCTGGGCCTGCAGGTTTTTCGAGACTTTTTCCCGCGCACGCAGTTTCGATTTCTACCATTTTTTTTTGTGGATAGAAGGTTCGGTGGAAAAGGTGGCCGAATTCCACGGGTAAATACTGAGCTAAATGGCTATTTATCACGGGCAATATATCGATGATCTTTGAAGTAACAAAAGAGGCAATGAGCACCGTGCAAGGTGTGGCTCGGGCCAGATGGAAACTCAATGTCCTAGATATTCATAGACTGAAATAGTACAACAAATACACCTATCTCTCTCTCACTCAGTCGCTTGTGCCCTTTACTTCAACATAATACTCGTGCCACGCTGAACGGCCCCAAGAAACGTAACTCTCACGGCGAGGTGTCCGAATAGATCAAGATCGCCGGCTTCGAGAACATGAATTTAACAAAAAGCTTTATTCGAATTGTTCCTGCCAATAATAGCTACTATTATTAAGTCACTAAGATAAGAATTGCAAAGCTGGAGAACTCAAGATCTGGTGGATCTTCCTTTTTAAGTCCTCCAGGGCCAAATCCCAGGAGGGCAATGACGGAACACATGTAAGCGGTGTCCTCTACGAACCTGGGAGTTGTATATTCTCCCAGAGCCAAGTTCAGTCAAATTTCGCAATACTCAAGAAGTTGGCCCACGAAGCAAGAATCCAAATTACTCCTCCACGTCGTTATTTCACTCCCAACGAAATCGATTCCTACCTAAGTCTCATCAAGTCTACAAGTGCGACCAAGTACATCCTCATCCCAATGACCACACCACTCTTCGACCTTCTCAGGCCTCAGTTGACCACCTAATACAGGCCCTCGCCGATATTTACAACCGACGGCGGAAACAAAGCGCAGTGCACAAATCTGAGAGACAGTTCTTTGGGATGGACGTGAGAGTGATCAGGACAAGCTTACAAGATGACGTGGAGGATGGATACATTCTCGACGGGCGTGTAATTTTGGAATTTTGGCAGGGAATTTTACGAATTGGGCTTTGTGCGCGTCAAGACTTCGCTTGCGAGAGTGCAGCTGCCACTACAAACACAAGCAAACGAAGGAAGGTGTTGTGGTCCGCCTCCTGGTGGTTGTCTCTGGTATAGATTGAGTAGCCTGGGCACCTATTCCACTTGGAAAGGAAACACCATAGATTACATTTCGCGCGGAGGAAAGATAATGGATGACGGAGGCATGTCTGGATAACTCGGGGTTTTGGAGACGTTCCCCTGGATGGGTATTCATGGATGAGGGTTGACTTGAGGTGAAGAAAAAGCCACCTTAATTTCGCAGGGTTACTTGCAAATGAAATCTGAGGCATGAGTGCTCCTCTTGTAAATTGAATCATCTTTTCTGTACTTTTCTTTGGTATTATGACATAGCTAGGTAGCTGCATACGCAATTCAAATCTGATGCAAAAAAAGCATTTGTCTCCAAGCCCGACGTGCGGTAGGTTCCAAGAATTCCGGTCGTCTAAGTAAGCTAAGTAAGCCAGAGGCAAAATCAGTCCTACGCTAAGATTAGTAAGACGTAGTCACGTGCTAGGGAACGGGAGCAGCTCCCTTTTTTTTGCATCAGATTTTAATTGCGAACGTAGCTATCCAGTCATGACACCATATCAAAGAAAAGCACAGAAAAGATAACTCAATACACAAGAAGTGCACTCATGCCTCGGATTTCATCTGCGACGGGCCAGCTCTTAGTACGGAGTGAGGAGGCAAATAGTATTCAGGGATAGCGCACGAGTTGTAAAAGGTGGCGAGGAGTCTAGAAGTGTACTTAATCATGGCATAGATCCCTTTCAAGGAGCACGCAATCTAGTCCCAATCTCTACCACATCTAAGTTGTAGTCAGGAGCCACGAGACACCGCGCAACCATTCCCCACCCGACTCTATGTGATCATCACACATTCGTCTCCGATAAGCATCTAGTACACTCAAGAAAGTTCAGTGTGTTGACCAGGCAAATACCACTCTCTCATGCTACCCGAACTCTAAGAATGCGTTTGTAGTGCTCTTCAGTAGTCAATTTTGCTTCTCGTTGCAGAACAGGTGCTGTTGAACTAAGTCCAGAAATTTAAACGTCACCTAGGCCAACAGACGAGTTAAGCCCTTAACTCATCCAAAGACCTTGGCATGCCTCGGGCAGGTGGCAAAATACAATTTATATCATCTAAATTTGTGTTTGGGGGTTCAAGTAGGCCGTCGCAGAGTGGTAGAGCGCGTTGTCAGTCTCACGGCTGATGACGAGGTCGTGGTTCGATTCCGTCTGAAGGCAATTATCAGGCTAGCGGCAAATGTTTTAGGTTAAGTTGACATGTTTAGTGTTTTTCATTTCCGCAAGACGACTAATGACGATGACAACATATTTTCGCGACCTGATATTATCCTGTTATTCAGATGGCATGGCACAGGTAGTTTAGATCTGTATCGAACCTCTCACTACCTGCATCGTTGGCTTTCAGGAGCCAAAAATACAAGACTATAAACAAATGATACCATCATTTCGGAGTTGCTTGTGCCCTATAATACATCGCAATTCTCATCCCATATTGAATGGCTCCGAGAAGCATTATGGTTGACCTCATGACCCCCTGTTAACGATTCTATCCTGCTATCATGGGTAGAAGAGGCTGGATTATCTGCCTTCCAACTTGTCCTCTCATATCCCTTATCAAAGGTCGTCATTTCTTCGTATCCGTCCGCCATTTCTGGATAGCCGAGCGACATTCTGCAAAATGCCGTGGCCGATTCTCTTGTCCACATTTGCACAGCATTTCTTCATTCTGGTGCTGAAATGGTCTGTGATAGCTTGCAAAGTCACCATGCCGAGTCTTTGCTGCAACGAGGCGATGATCTGCCCATCTTGGTAAAGCTAGCTCCGGAAGGCTTTTTCGTCGCATCATTAGATTCAGATCTTTATACCTGTCCAATCTGCTCTTATGCCACCAATTTTCCGCAAATTTCTTTTTCCGGATTGTGACTCAGCGGTTCAGCCTCGCAAATGTCAGTACGTCATAAGATTCCTCCAAAATGCACACTGGTCTGAGTACATTCAATTCCCTTGTTTTTGATGCAAGGGCTGCCTTTGATATGGCATCGGCCTTTTCGTTTCCTTCAACACCACTGTGTCCCGGAACCCAGCGGACTTTTATGGAAAGTTGAGACTTAAATTGTTCCCTAAAATTCCTTACCTCAGACTGTCAAGAACTCGTTCGACCACTTTCAAGCGCGCTGGCTGCATCTTGATTGTCAGGGATAACTTTGATACCTATACACATCTTTACTTATGATGATGATGATGTTTTATCGTAACCGGGTACTACCCCAGCACCCAGAGGGTATGGCACGGATAGTCCAGATCTATACGACTCTTCGTTACCTACATCATTGTTCTGTAGAAACCTATACACACAAAACTAAAACAAATAAAAACACCTTTTCTAATGTGATAGCGCCCTGTGCTACACCTTAATTCTCGTACTACACCGAACGGCCCCAAGAAGCATTACAGTTGAACTTTAAATCCCCTATTCACGATTCAATCTTGCTGTAACACTTTGTTACAGTTAAAAAACGCTAGAATTTCTGCCATCCTTCTTGCCCTATCATATCCCTGATCGTAGGGCGTAGCTCCTTCGTTTCCGTCCTTCATTTCTGGATAGTCGGGCTACACTGTGCAAAATGCCATGGCCGCTCTTCTCGGCCACAATTACAAAGTATTTCTTCATTCTGGTGATGGAACCGTCTATGATAGCTGGTGAAGTCACCATGCCCGGTCCTTGCTGCGATGAGGCGGTGATATGTCCATCGAGGTAGAGCTAGCTCCGGAGGGCGTTTTCTCCGCATCAGTAGGTCCAGATCTTCATACCTCACATCTTTACTAATGATGGTGATGATATTATTTTACGTCTATGTGGCATCGTTCAAAAACTGCCTAGGTATATCCGATGTAGCTCTTTCCATTCTGAAAGTATTAAGCCACCCCTCTCTCATGGTTCTTGACTACTCAGTCCCCTCACCCGCTCCTTCCTGGGGCCCTCATGAATGCAAATATAGAAGAAATAAAAGATTAAAAAATTAAACTCAACTTAAATGCATTTTTATCGAGAGCAAATGTAGTCAGAATAACGTGCATAGTCTTGTCATTTAGTAAGTGTGCTCG